CAGGACCTCAGGTGTGGCTTTAAAATAGCTGACAGCAGCTTCTATGGTGGGTATATTAAATGTGTTCTGGCGGCCTAGCACACATGGAATGAAGTCATAAACTGCATCCATCGAGGCGCACGGGGTGCACTGCAGAGTGAAACAATGCTGGCTTTGTGTGATGTTCTGATTTTGATTTTTTTTTTTCACATCAAGATGGTGAAACTGCAAAATGAAAGCATTCCTTCACAGAGCTGTGTTTAAGAAGCTTTTACTGCAGAAGTTACAGTAAATGTAGTCCAGACATGTTCTGTTGTATCTGTTGTAATCTTCTTGTTTGATATTTGTCTTATGCTTCTGAGTATTTTCCTTTCTCACATCTTTAGCCTGTTCTATGTGAGTTGCCTTCATGTTTCTACATCCTTCCAGTTTTATTTTTTTTACAGTGCTTTAGAGAAGTATTTCCCTCCTCTCTGAATTCATAATTCATAAAATCAAGAAATGAATCTAGAATTATTTAAATAGAGCCTGACAACAATCTCAAAAAATAGCACATCATGCCACAATCTAAATAAACTTAAGAACAGATGAGAAACACAGTTATAGACATTTATTAATCTAAAGAGGCTCACAAAGCTACTTCGAGGCTTTGGGACTCCAGTAAACCACAGTGTAAACTATTCTCCCCAAATGGAGAAAACACCAACGGTGTATCGATATCTCATTCAGGAAGTCACAGAAGAATCCAGAACAACATCTAAAGAGATGCAGGCCTCATTTGCCTCAGTGAAGGTCGGAGTTCATGATTCAACAATAAAAAACAGACTAGACAAAAATGACATCCACGGAGAGTCCAAGGAGTAAAACCACAGTGACTAGAAATAACTCAAAGGCTTGTCTAACATTTTTTGAAAAATCATATTGATGATTTTGGGGAAATTTTTGTTTAACCACAAGTCTAACTTCTTGGAAGGTTTGATTCCCGTTAAATCTGGTGTAAAACGAACCGCATTTCATTTAAAGACCAATATACCAGCATCAGAATTATGATGCTTAAATGCTCTCCAACGCGTTTTAATTAAAACAATTCTACCAAGAAGATTCCTCCACAGCGATGTGAAAGACTCACAGTCAGTTATACCAAACTCTTTTTTGGTGCCAAGGGTGGCACAAGCAGTTATTAGGCTTAGGGGCCATTTCACTTTCACACAGGGCCAGGTGGGTTTGGATAACTTTTGTTCCCTTAATAAATGGAATCATCATTTATATTTACACAGGCTGTCTTTGTCTACTATTAAAATTTGTTTTATGAGTTAAAGCAGGCAGCATGGTGGCATGGTGGTTAGCATTGTTGCCGCACAGCAAGAAGGTAATGAGTTCAATGCCCCTCAGTGTGTGTGAGTGGTTGTCTCTGTGTGTTATCCCTGTGACAGACTGGTGACCTGTCCAGGGTGTACCCTGCCTCTTGCCCTATGACAGCTGGGATAGGCTCCATCAACCCTGAAAAGGATGTAGCACCCGAGTAGCAGTACCACTGGGGAAGGGATTGCCTTGGAACCTCAACCTACATGTTTCAAAAGGTGAAACATTTCCTTTGAAGGTGAATGTTCAAATTCTGTTTTGCATCATACAGACAACTCTCTCACTTCCATTCAAACTATTAGCAATAGGCGATTGACCAAAGCAATCACAAAGGTTTTTGCCAACCAGTTGGGGAATACAGATTTTTCCCTAGCGACATGTGGTTGCCAGAGGGTTATTGACTGGTCTCTAGGCCTGCGAAACTAGGGCCTTATTCATTTGATCTAACATTGTCACCAAGATCACACCACATGTTCAAAATGACAGCAAAGTTAGCATCACATGTTTTGTGGTCACATGTCTGGAAAACAGTTTCACAGTTATGAAAACAAGATATCTGTTACAAAGCCATTATTGTGCCACATTATGTTTCACAGTGACTCATTGTTTTGCTATGTGTTATTAATGCAACATGCCCCTCTCCCTCATAGGGCTGCGTTTTTCCTTTTCCCTAAAAACTCAGGCTGTGCATCAGGCTGTGGTCTGCTTACGATGCTTCGCTTTATTTTGAACTAGCTTTCAATCTGAAACCTGCAGATTTTCTTTAGTCCAATAAATATCTGATGTTTCCAAAGTTAGTGAATTGTGCTTATTCACATTCTGATCACAGAAATGTCAAAATGATCATGATTATGACTGCTGAGACAACTGAGCAGTCCTACATTATGAAGGAAAATTACAAAGTACAATCACTGAATACAAATTCTGTCTGACCATATTTTTCAAGTTCCCTGCATTTTAACTTCAAGTGCAGTTCTGAATTGTGAGTTGACAGTTCAAACCTTGCTGAGCTCCACTTTCAGGTTGTACGGATCGCTGCCAAATTGGAAGAGAGACTTTTTAAATCTTTCAACAAGGCGCCGTTTAATGTGGTGGTGTGGAGCTGGTGGAAGCTGGAAATTAAATAAATGCAGGTTATTACCAACAAATACAAATCTAACCACTGCTGACAAAATATTCCTCATGGGTTGATCTCAGCTGGACCAAATAGTCCAACTGATAGAGTGTTTCTGTGACTGCATCTATCATTTTTGACTCATGAGATTCAGCAAACATTTCTTTAAGCCTTTACTTGAGTGATGAAGATGATTTTGTGCAGCTGCACCAGAAGCCTCTGAATTGGATCATCAATCTGGCGAAGCTTCTTCTGGGAGACGCAGATTCCTGCTGACACTGAGGTTAGAGCAAAACCAACAAACTGACTGATGAGTGCTAAAGAAAGCCATGTAGGCTCATTTGAAAAGGTTTCTGTAGTCTGAGAGGTCGAGCAGTGCCATAAAGTCAAAAAATTTACCCGGTCTTGGTTTCACCTTTGCAGCTGCAAAATCCCCACTGGGAAAAACAGCAAATCACAAATGTGATTCAGTTTGCTTGTGTTTACCAACAAACATTTACACGTTCTTCAAGTTCAAAGGATGAGCTCAAGACTGCTACCACATTCATTAAGCCCAGAGCTTACATAAATCATACAGCTGGAAATGTGTTCAATGTGTTAAACTTACCTGTCTAAAATATGATCAGGGGTAGCACAGGCAGCTGACTTTGAGCCTTTGATTAAAGCTAAATAGTAAAACAAATGGGGTTTGGGGTATAATTAGTGAGCAAAATCCACGACAACCAACAGAAAAATCTAAAGCAGTGAGAAGAAATGAGAGAATAAATGTTTATAAATGCTTCGAAGCCCTAAATGGCACCACAACAACTAACAGTAGTGAGGCATCATCAGGTAAAGTAAACATGCCTGTGAATATTTGGATGTATGACAACCAGAGAAAAACACAAAAAAAAGTCTCTTAGGAGTAAGTAATAAAAATGTGATCATGTTATCACAGCTTCGACACCACTAACCGTAATGTTTTCCTGTAGAGGTGGTGGTAGTGTCTGTGCCTTGGGATGTTTCAATATCTTCATCAGGGCCGTCATCTAAGCACACACGCACAACATGTTAGCATTGTGTCTTCATACCTGTCACAGTCTGAGCAGTATAAAGATACCCAGATACCCTGAGCGAGTCTCTGCTCTCTGCTGTGGTTTGAGCTGCAGGCTGTAGAGGAGCATGAAGGTGCATATTCAGTCTCCATCGTGGGTGTTTCCTGTAAAATATGAAGCACCATTTTAAATCTCTGCAGGCTAATAATATATTTATTTATAAGCGCTACAGCACAGTTCAGACGTTCATGAGTCTGTATTTAACATTTATAAAGTGAAGAGTCTTTTTCTGATTTCAAAGATCTGAATTCACCTGTGACATGTTTGAGTAAGAGCAGGTCACCCTAATTTTATCTCTTTCTAGGAAAAACTTCTGTGCTCGTTTCCTGTCTCGCTCTGCTTTTCTTTCCAGTGAATTCTGGGAAGTGTAGAGTCCATCCATCAGCTTCATCATGAGGTCAGAGATCCTGGAACTCACAGCTATAATGTCCGGTCTCAGATCTGGATCTGGATTTAAACACCTGACAGGACATCACATCACAAAGTAAAGTGCTGAATAAATTTATTAAATAATTGATTGTTCTGTTATTTCTTATTTTATTTCTTATTTTTCCACATGGATAATACATGTAAACACTAATACATTTAAATAAATTGCAACTGTTGCGGTGCTGGACTTCCTACCAGGCCTAATCCTGAGACCTCGTCCTTAGTGAATGCTTTTAAGTTAAACATGCATCAGTTAAGAAAATCTAGTAGAAACAATAGAGGAACCGGAAAGCCAAAAATTGAGATGCTGTGTAAAATCTAAATAAAAAGAAAATCCTCAAACACAGATTCCAGAAGTCAATGACTGAATCAATGAAGCCAGATTGATTGATTGATCTTCTGTATACAGTCTATGCTCACCATTTGATCATGTCGATGACTCTTTCTGAAAAAGTACCTTCTTCAATTGGCTCATAATCGGCCTCCACAATCTGCCAGCAGAGAATTAGAGTGACTGACAGTAGAAAGTAAATATATGAAGTTAGGCATAAAATGTGAGTCTTGTGTGTCTCCATGCTACCTTGCTGGCCAGTGACAGCATGTTACTGCTGTAGAATGGAGGCTGTAAAGTGGCCATCTGGTAGAGGATGCAACCTAAAGCCCAGATGTCAGCTTTCTCTCCATACGGCTCGTTTTTCACTATCTCTGGACTAAAAACACATTACCACACTGAAAATCTTGAGTTATGAGGACCATTCATGCAATAAATCTCTGAATGAAGCCACAAAATCTGACGTTGATCACAGAAGATTAGAATTTGACAAGGAAAAAGAAAGTGTATGTGAATCTGACAGCATTATAGGAATATAATCACACAGCAATGGATTCTAAACTCTAAAACTCAAATTTAGGCCTCGACTTTTTACCTGAAGCCAAATTGAGGCTTATTTCTAATGACAACCATCGTATTTAAAACCTCTAATTCCCACAGTTGTTTATGTGAGCAGATTTTTGTTCCCTCAGCTCGATTAACACAAAACAAGTGTACACAGCCAGGAATAACATAATAACTTTCCAGCTGTGTCTTTAATAGGCTGTAATAAAAGACAAAAACAGCTGAACGTTTGGCCTTAACTTCCTCACCAGGAGTAAAGGATGGTGCCAACCACTGATGTGAGCTTGCTGTTCTCCTCCTTCTGCTTAGCTAGGCCAAAGTCAGCTTCAGGTAGAGGAAAGACAAGAGTTAAACGTTTCATATGACGAGATGTTCTGTGGGGAAACCTAACTGCACACTCACTGATGGTGACTTTATCTTTCTCCCCTAGCATGATGTTGTTTGGCGTCAGGTCGCGATGGACTATCCTCTTCTCCTTATGCAGGTACCTCAATGCCAGAGACATCTGAAGGAACATGGAGAAATTATGCTAGAAGTGCTTTAGGAGAGAGTAAGAGTTTTGGCTCATCCATGTGTGTCTCATTCGCCGAGTGAAAATTATTGCCATTCATTTTGGCTATTATCAAAAACAATCAAAAACCAGTTTGGCAGCCAGGGTTTCTGTTCCTTTGAGTTTTGAATGAATGTGTGAGTTTGGGTTTTTGCTTTGGTGTTTAAAGTTATGATTTTTATGTTTTGCTGGGTTGTTTTTTATTTTGTTGTACCTAGACTCTAGTTGCTGTTTCTTGCATGTTAGTCCCCTTGAGTCTAATCGCTCTAATATCCTATTAGAGCGATTAGAACATGCTGTAGGTATTACAGGTATTGCACTGCAGTGGTTTGTATCATATCTATCTAATAGACTCCAATTTGTGCATGTAAAT